GGGGAGCCCCGCAGCCCGGCCGTGCGCGCCGATGGTCGCTCCTTTTGTCCTTACTTGAATGAGAGGGAGGTGTCATGCAGTAGTAATCGTTCGTGATGCCACCGTACCCGCAGGGGTAACCCCCAAATTATGTTTAGGTCCGTACCTGGAAACAACGAACTGTCCGCATATCTGTGTTTGCGAAAATGCCATCGGCAGGGTGTGGCTTCTTGTTTCAATGGGGGAAAGTTAGGCAGGAAAACCCGAAGCGGCGGAGAGAATTGGTTTTGAGTTCAGGTGACCCTGTCACTCCATCATTTCTGTCGCCGCCTCTCACTGGGGTTTTTATTTTCTCCCTGCCCTGTTTTCTTCTTCCTTCCCTGGATCTCATTTGGAAGCTGTTAAAACGGGAAGGGGATGAGTTTGTTCTTTGGCAAAATTAACGTTTAAATTGAAATATGTCAGGGCTTTTACCTGAATCTTATTTTGAAATTGTTAATATTCGAAGGAGAATAGCTCGATTTTGGGCAAAATTAGTATTTAAAATGGAATAGGATGAGCTCACAGTCGAAAAAGAACTTCCTATAAGATGCTTGACATTTGGAGGAATTTAAAGACCCCACTGTCTTGTGGACTTGCGTTATTTATTTAGCGACTTCTTTTTTTCCCAAGAGTATAGATAGAATAAAGCTCCCAGAACAAAGAATGTGCCATGTGGATGCTGTGCCTTGTGCCAACTCTACTTTAATACTTCTGTTCATTTACAGTTAGGCCATTACTTAAATACCATGCACAGCCACTACGGTATTCATGGCTTAGATTTCCTGTAGCATTTCATAAACGTCCCGGCTAGAAAACGTGCGTTCATCGTAATTGTCATTAAAAGTCTGCATCTAAAAAGTGTTTATTATTGACAAATAGTTACATGATACGTTTTAGAATTTTCCTGGGATTTAATTTGCATTTTATCTTACTGAGAAATAATCGCGTTTCTTAAATTGGATGCACCTCATTATTCCTGTTTTAATATGTCACACGTCAAATTCCGGCCACGGTACATAGGGCGGTGTGTGTGCTCCCCTTATGGCCTGGACTGTCTAAATCCTAGGGGTTTTCTTTGTCTCTGGCATTCGTAACAAGAGGCCACTGCATTTAAACTTCATGCAGATTCACATGGAAACGGGGAAAGTAAAGAGCAGATTCTACTAGAGAAGTGTCAGAGTTCTGGCTAAGAACGTAGGCCCAGTTTCAAATCTTAGCTCCACTTATTTAACTCTGTGACCTTGGTCAAGTCACTTAACCTCTCTGTGCCTTGGTGTCTCCATTTATAAGATGGAGCTGCTACCAGGGTGTCTGAGGGTTTAAATGAGATGTCAGCACAGTGGCAGCTCCACAGGAAGCACTCTGTGTTAGTTTCTGCGGCCTTTTAAGTGCCTTTAACCACCATCCTGAATTCATGGACTTCTTAAGGCCCTTATTAATGGATCCTGACGTAGAGATTCTTCTCAACGTGAGTTCGATGGGTTTTTTCTTTGCTCGAGATGTATTAATTCAATTATGCTGCGTTCTCAGGGCAGACACACCAGTCTTATTCCTTTTACATCGTTCCTGCCAATGGGAATGAATGTAAAGTATGAAACCTAAGGACCTAAGAAAGGGTGCTCAGCTTTCCACGCGTCTATTTTTATCTATATTGCTGCCATGACTTTAAAGCACACTGAATCCCACAAATAATCCTGTCAAACTTCCTCGATTTTTAAGGAGGCAGAATGTTAAGCAGTTGCCCGGAAGCTGTTGGCTGAGCTGGAGGGAAGACTAGTGTTGGCATGGTCGTCCAAAATGCTGCCCTTTTTTTTTTTTTCCAAGATTGCTTATTCATCCAAAATATGGAAAAATTGACTATCGAGTGGGTGGGTTGGTGGGGGGGGGGGGGGGGAGGGGGAGTCCTAGCGTGAGACATTACACTTTTAAATATCCTGCAAACTGATGGTAGCGGCCTGTCCAATAAATAACTGATGAGGAGCTCCTCATGATAGATATTTAATCTTCCTTCTTATCCTGTTCATGTCGCGGTCAGGAGGTATTACTTAGATGGAGATACATTTGGTGTACACGGAAACACATGATTACTAGTATTTTTGTTACTAAGTGTCTTTTGGTATCCTGATAAAGTATAACTGATATTATATTTGTAAGAAGCAATTCAGAAGCACTAGCGAAGTTAGAGTCATCTCTTGAAGAGTCATTTGCTTCTGGGAAGAAAGAAGGGGCTGTCCTGCCATCTCCCCTGCATTGTTTGGGTCTTTGGCCTGGGTTCTGACAGCAGCTCTCCACTTAGTGAGCTGTCGTCAACTCTTAACCGTCTGTCACACTCTGATCGAGGGACCTTTCTGGAGCATGGCGTGATGGCCTCACTCTTTTATGGGAAAATCTTTACCACTTTCCTCTGTCTATATATAGGATAAGCGCAAGCTTTTCCTCATCTGCGGCCTCACCGCTCGCCGCCTCCTGGCCACACACGCCAGGTACGTGACAGTTGCCAGAAATCTTTTAAAGAGGCGGATTCTGATTCTGCGGGTCTGGGATGGGACCCGAAAGTCTGTGTCTGCCGAATCCCCAGGTGCCGCAGCTGCAGCTTCCCACGCCCCTCTCTGAATGACGAGCCCGTAGAATGGGCATCAGCGAACTTTTCTGTCGTGGGTCTCCATCTTTGTCACGGCCCTCTAAGTTGCCTGTACAGTAGCAAGGCAGAAGGCAGCCAGCAAACAAAGCAGTCCAGCAGACAGGGCTGTGTTCCACAAAACTTAATCTCCCAAAACAGGCCGGATTTGGCCCACAGGCCCAGCTTGCCAGCCCCCTGCTCTCTGCGACCCTCACAGTCTCCGGGCTTTAGGGTATTATGTCGTTTTAAGGGTAAGACCTTCTCTTGCTCCTTGACCTGTCCACATTACTACTATGTCACAGCTCAACCCACATCTGATCCCCTCTGAGGCTGTGCCCCAAGTCCCCTCCTCTAGCGGTGCCGGATGTGGCTGGGTGCCCAGCGGCGTTTCGGCATCTCAGTGAGCGCGTCACGTGTTTCTGCGGCCGGGGGATGCCGGACCCCGCGGGTGGCGCCCTCCCCACGCACCTCTTTTCGCTGAGAGGACCGTTCCCGGCTTCTCTCTGGCGCGTCCGCACTGCCAGCTTCGCCACTGGCGCTGTGGGCACATAAGTAAGTTCAGTGAGGGCGACTTGAGCACCAGCCGTGCAGCGCCACAGCAGCCAGACCGGCCTGGGAACCACACGGGCCGCCCAGGGGCTCACGGGCAGGGCGCATCCACGGTCGGGACACTGGACCAGGCCGTGGCTCACGTCCCAGGCAGGACGGAGCGGGACGGCGCCAGATCCCATTATGCCACTCTGAGTCGTACACAGTTGGAAA